AATTACATATTGTTTTGTGATTAATCACTATGCTTTAATTATGTTTAATTATGTTCAATTTTTAACAATGAAAATACATCCTGCATATCAGATATTTATATTATGATGCATAACAGTAGCAAAATTATAGTTATGAAGTGGCAATGAAAATTTTATGGTTGGGGGTCACCACAACATGAACTGTATTAAAGGGTCACGGCGGCATTAGGAAGGTTGAGAACCACTGCCCTAAGGTCAGCAGTTCAAAACCACGAGCCACTCCATGGATGAAAGACCACGCTTTCTACTCCCATAACAGTTTCAGTCTCATAAACCCACAGGGACAGTTCTACCTTTTCCTATACCTATAGAGTCACTATGAGTCGGAATCAACTGGATGGCACTTCCTACAATAGTTTAGCTTTCTATGAAACAGTGCCTCCCTTGAGTGCTATGCTTTTTGAAAAATTTAAGACCAACCTATAGGGGATCATATCCACAACAGCAACACAAAAGATTATTTAGAAAACTTAGGGGACAATGAGTTGTGTAAATGGAAAGTGGAAAAACTTCAATGTAATCAGTGTTACAGAACTGTGCACGTAGAAATTGTTGAACTGGTGTATGTTCTGCAGCATTGATTCTCAATAATATTTTAAAGTTACGTAAGACTTAACACAAAAGAATATTAGATATTTTTCACTTTAGAATATGTCCATATTTTGAGAGTTAAGTCTTCATTGCTCATACAAAATGTTAAAACAAGTCAATCTCTCTGAGGTGAAAACATTATGGAAGAGAAAAAGAGGCATCGAAAGCTATCGTCAGATACGTCTCTATTTTATAAAGGGGGAAAGAGACTCAGAGAGGGATAGTCAGTCCAAGGCTAAACAGTTAGCATGAGGCAGTGCTAGGACGAGCACTGGATCATTGATTCTAAAAGTCCTGTTCTCAACACCCTTTGATACAAAGCAAGGAAAATGAAGGAAACTAGCCCGCTGGGGATTAAGCTGCACTGGAGAGCATATGCCCAATAAAAGGCAAGCAAGCATATGCCCAACTAAAGGCAACTATAGCTATGGAGCCGCAGACCACTGTGGCCAAGGGGATATGTTGACCAGAGAAATCAGAGTGGGCAAGTGGGCTGTCTACATTATGGAGTCATCTGATTTCAAAATGCCAGTCCTGTTTTTTTCTTCAACAAATGTATTGTCTTTATGAAAACCCAAACCACCTCCATCAAGTTGATTCCATCTCGTAGCAACCCTATATTGGGTTTCTAGGCTGAACTTTATTAGGATAGATTAAATTGAGGGAGTGTGTGTGTGTGTGTGTGTGTGTGTGTGTGTGTATCAACCCAACAATCTGATAGTGCCAGCAAATATATGGAGATAGGCTCTTTAAGAATACTGTGGAAATTTCTTATAAAGTTAAACATATAGTTAGCATGTCCAGCAATTGCACTTCTAGGTATATTCCTAAGTGAAATAAAGCTATAGTCATACAAAAAACCTTTACTTGAATGTTTATAGTGTAGAATGTTTATAGTATAAACTATAGTTTATAGTCATTAAAAACCGGAACTAGCCCAAATATCTCTCAACTGTGGATGGGTTAAACATACTGTAGTCCTTTCACACAATGGACTACTACTTAGCAATAAAAAGAAATGAACTAGCAGTGTGTGTAACAAGGAAGGATCTCAAAAACATTTCGCTAAGAGTCAGACTCCCAAGACTACACAGTGTGTGCTCCTGTTTATGAGACATTCTGGCAAAGGAAAAAAAAGACAACAGAAAACAGATCAGTAGTGGCCAGGACCTGGGGCTGGGGTCAGGGGGACAGGGTGGAAATTTTTGGTTAGGAGTGATGGAAATGTCATATATCTTTATCGTGGTTACATGACTATGCTTGGCTTGTCAGAACTCACAAAATTAAAGGGGGAGAATTTAACTGTGTGTAAATAATAACTTCCTAATGAAAACTACTTGAACAGTGGGAGTGAGGGGAGCATTAAAAACCTATTGTCCGAGATTTCATATAGATGAATAAAGCAATCTATTTTACTCACAGATATGTATGATTATTTTATAGGATAATCTAAGATTTCAAAGTGTTTGGCACCTTTGCGTTGATTCCGACTGGCAGCGACCCTATCTAGGGTCTCTCAGACTGTACATATGTATGGGAGTGGGGTTTGATTAGTCATTTAGGCTGTGGGCTACAGTTATTGATCTGAAATGCAAACCCTCACCTAAGTTACATTTTAAAAAATCTTAATGGAACCAGACAGCTTCATCTTTCTCCCCCCAAGCAGCTTGAATCAACAGGTTTGAACCACCGAACTCACCCTGAACAGCCCCCAAATGCTTAAACCACCACACCACCAGGCCTCCATTGTAGAACACTTCAAAAACCAGAACTCCTGCCATTGACTGATTCCGATTCATAGCGACCCTGCCTTGTGGGTTTCCCAGCCTGTTACTCTGCATGGGGGTGGAAAGCCCCTTTCTCCTGTTGACTTTGACATTAGCAGCCCAACTAGGCGTGAGAAGAGCAGCCAGCAGGGCTCCTTTGTAGAGCATTTAGCACATACAAAATGCTAAACGGTAGCCGATCAGGTAAAGTTAGAAATTTTAAGGTTTTTCAGAGTTTTGACATTCATTACAAATAGTAGCTTCTTTCAGCGGCGGAGAGGTCGCTTGGGGAGGCAGTGGCCAGGACAAGGGGCTGCCCCTCTTCCTATCTTTCACATCTGACTGTGGGGCTGCTGCGAGTCACAGTGAAGGTCGCGGGTGCCGGCCCCGCCCCTGCAGACGCTGAGCTAGGGGGAGGCAGGCGAGGCGCCAGGTGCACACAGTTCAGGAGCTGTACTGGGGCTGAAATGCTCCACGACTGCTACCCTAAAGTTTGACGGTGAGAACACCAGCAGCTCCGCTGGAGAAAGGTGTGGCCGTCCGCTTCCTTAAACCATTGACAACCTTGGAAGCGGTGGGGCACCTCTACCAGGGTCTTAGGTCTCAGAGATAGTGTTGCTCACTGTGCGTCAGAATGAACTACGGGTACCTTGTGGGTTTGGTTTCTTGGCTTTTACATTTGGCTCGCTCTAGCCCTGGCTCACCAGCACTCCACAGTTGGCTTCATCATGATTCTCGGCGTGCTTTTCTTACCTCATTGAGAGAATCTTTTAAAGATTCTGCTTCATTACAAGCCTGAAAAGTCACATAGCTTCGTTTTTACGGTAGTTCATGGGTTCCAGATTCTACGTTAGCGACCTTTTAGGGGAAACTTTCATATTTGAAATACACCTGTTTTCCCCTCTGTTTATACAGGAATGTTTCTTTGAAGGACTCCCCACGCTCACCGACAATAAATGAGACACCTGAACCTCACCAGCTCCAATCACACGAAAAAGAAATTTCATTTCCGGAAAATGGGTAAATTCAGCCTGAAGTGATCTGACACGTTTACTTTTGTAATTTCACAATAACACCTCTTGTGGATTTGTAGTTTGGTAGAATTTCATTCAGAAACCTCCTTAGGTTCTTTGATTTTTGCATCTTTAAAGGATCTGAAACATCCTTTGCCAAGCGTGAATTCCAGGATTCATGAAATTGATACAATTCACTGGGCGAATAAAATAAAATAAATAAAGTAGCCCTTATTGAGTCGGTGAAATTATAGTGTGCTTCTTGAAATTCCCGTGACGGGATGGGAACTGGGATGGAAAGCTGACTATCTTTGTGATTCATTAAAATGTGGACGAGTAGTTGACACAAATGTTAGCGGTGTCATGATTACGAACTACTGCTTGGGAGTCCTGATTTAGAGAGAGGTCTACTGGAAAGCACGAGATTATGCCGCATGTACTTGAGTAGTTATCATTAATGAATTTCCAGTTTCGGATTCCGTTGATTCCGAATAAGATAATAAAATGCTCTGCTCCTCGAACTGATACATATTAATTTCGTTGCTAGAAAAATGTACAAACGTGCTTGACACAATGGATGGATGTATGGGTTGTGATAAGAATTTTACAAGCCCCCAATAAAATGATTAAAATAATTTTTCGTTGCTAGAAGGTATTGTGCATCCACTTTTCCTTTAAAGGCGATGGGGAAATCAGTTGGCTCGGGGTAAGCCTCGGGGACGCAGCTTTCCCACGGGACCCTGGGTCGGTTCCCCCCAGGTGCAAGCCGCTCTATCCCCGGGTTCACACAGGCAAAAAGCCTCCGGCGAGTTTACCCCGCGGTCAAGGTAAGAATCGTTTGTCTCCCCTCGCGGGGGCAGCGGAGGCGCGGGCAGGCCCGAGGCCCGCCTCACGACTCCGGCCTTAGGAGCTACAGAACGGAGCGTGGACTCCGGAGCCGCGTCTCGAACTCCGTGCGGCTCACTCACGTGGACGATGCGCAGGTTAGCGCAGCGGTATCGTGCACCGAGGGTTTCCTTACGGAGGAGGACCCGTCCAGCTGCGCAAAAGGCCAGCGTCCCCGTCTCAGCTCGGCCCCGGCGGCAAGAGGGGGCCAGGGTCACACTGGGCC